CGGCGTGTGGGTCCCGGAGTGCGACAATAACCAATCAGACTGTTTGCGAAGGGGTGTTCAGTTGTTGGCATAGCGCCATGATCCAAAACTCGGTAGATGACTTCAGGACACAGCGACGGCAACACCATTGGCAAACAACTGCTGAAGCCATCGCCTGGTCGCGAAACTTGGAACCTCAGCGCTGGCTTCCATAGACGCTGCACCCCAGGATCCTAACCCTCCAACTTAACGTCTCACACCCTATCCGCGAAACCCTAAACCAACCTCTCCCACGTAGGTCCGACAGGTGGTCCTCCAGCTGCTGCTGGGCCCGACCCTGCGGCGCCACGCCGGCCCGAAGCATTCTTTGCAGGGCGTCCTTTTCCAGCTTGGGATGTCAGAGTCTTCGGCTTCAGGGCTTCGACTCGCGCAAAAATGGCTCTGGGCAGGTAGGGTCTTGGGTTTTACGTGGAGGGTCTAGCTTAACGATAACCCAGATATTAATCCGTGACTGTCCTTATGGCCTTCAATGTGCAGTCATGACTACGTAAGCTATAAATATCCCCGAACCTTCACGTAGGGTTCTCGCTTCTCGGGCTTGAGAAGGCTGTCGGCTCCGGGGTGTCCATTTAGTTTAGGGGTAGTCCTCTCTACCGGAGTTGGTTAGGAAGTCATGCCATGTACGGTATATCCTTGCCAGCAGTTGTTAGCATTGACTTCAACCAACGGCAGTAACGAGAACCCAGTTGATGGTGTTACCCCGAATTCAACCGGGCTAAATCCTCCCCCTCTCTCTCTCTCTCTCGCTCTTTCTCTCTCTCTCTCTCTCTCTCTCTCCCTCCGGCACCCGACTCAATTTAAGATGGAGACCAAGACCTCCGGGAGGATTTACCATAGATCTCCGAATCGGTGTCTATAAAGGACCCTGTGATAGATGAGGCTGCCAACATGGGGCTTTCCCGGCGGTCTGGGGAACAGTCAGTGAAGCTGGAGGCTCTTCTGAAGAGGCAGTGGGTTTTCGCTCGCGCTGCCATTCATGAAACTACTATTACCAAGCGTGGAAACACGCACTGATAGCAGTTTACAAGAAACAGCAAGCAGCGAAAGAGATGTCACATGTGAGGCCCGGCCTACGTCAAGACTCTAACCCTCAGGAGAAAGGATTTTTTGCTGTTCGAACAAATGAAGAACCTGTCAACAACCATCCCGCTCAAACGGACAAGCCAAGATCAATACAGTGTCCTTTGTGCATTTGTGGGTTTCAGCACCCCTAACATCATTCATGAATAGATGCCTCCATAAGACCATTTGGGAAATGAACAGGTGTTCCGGAGTACCACCTGGATCTTTGGTGTAATTACTGCCTAACCTGGAGCCGTAGTGGCTGAGAAGATAAGCCAGTCTCGTTCCGTTGCGGCCATGTCCTCGACTGCCGCGTCATCCCGATGCTTGCAGACAGCTTCTATCACCGGTGCCCAGGTCCTGAGAGTGGGCTATGAGTGCATTTGCGGCTTTGAGCTTTTTGGACTTGGGCTCCAGGGCTCCAAAGAGTGTTTCTCCTCTCACCTAGCCTCGGAGCGCAGTTGAGAAGTGTAGCAGAGCTCCAGAGTTTAGGGTTTGAGGCTTTGGAGTTCGGGGCTCAGAGCTTGAGGACTGTAGGATGAGAGTCGTAGGTCGTAGGGTTCTTGAAGCGGTTGGGGGCCTTAGTTGTCAAGGTTGGAAGCACTACGAAATTTTCGTGTTGGAGATGCCTGAACCTCTCTGGGCTTATCATTTGCTCCTTCTCCTGCTTCCTGCAGTGTCCGCTTCACGAACTGCTACTGCTTACTCCAAAACCCCAAAAGAAAAACCGCCACAACCGGGAACGCTAAGCCCCTAAGCGATGCAGTAACAAGAGCAATCACAACAACAGGCACCATAATCACAACCCAGAACAAACCCAAACAAAAGTAAACATACTCACAAGCCTACGGCTAGTCATAAGAATAAGAACAAAATGCAAAGAATGGCACACACACTCTTGGAATCAACTGGAGGTCTCTGCCATGACTTCTTCTCGGCTTTGACAAGATTCGTGCAGGGTCTGAACAATTGGAACAGGATTCTGGGGCACATTGCAGAATATGCAATGTAAAGCAAGGAACACTCAGGACTAGCATTGCACTAAGTATTCAATTCCTTCTTCCATGTACAGGTTGTGTAGGTGTTGTGAACTCACTGTTCGACATCGCGACATGCATTGAGTATGACTCTGCAAAGGCACATGATGTTTTGGGCCAGCCGTTGCTCCTGCATGTCTCCTCGGCCGAATCAGAGAGAGCATTGGGCTTGGGGCGTCACAGAGTCATGCCAAGACATGGGCAAGGATGGGTTTCAAGCGCTACAACCAAGGATGCTCGTGTTTGCGGGTCCTGGAATGCTGCGGGAGGGCCTATGGCTGTAGTCACTCTTTTAATGTCCGTGTTGTTTTCCTGTTGTCGTTGATGCACTTTAGGTGCGCTTGTCGTTGATTCTGTTGCTGCTCTGACTGCTTCCAATTTACGAGGGATAGGATGTTGAAGCCCGGAAGAATTTTCATGCTAGCTGCCGATGCTGGTGCTTGTTGGGTCTGTTACGTGTTAGTTGCAGCCAATGCCGATGCCGCCCTTTGCTTGTTTCCTCGTGCATCTTGACCCTATGTGTTTCGTCGCAATTGAGATGCTCACCCCTTTCAAGCAACACTCCAACACCTGAACTTGAAAATTTGAACCCCAGGACCACTTTTGAGTGTGAGGGGTTCCCCAGCTGTCGAGTACACCGTAGCTCAGCGAAGCCCGACCAACTACGACCACTGTTTCCCCGTGCCGAGTCTACCAACGCACACGGCGGGCTCAGGGTTTAGGTGGAATTAGAAACCATAGGGTTTCGGGACTTGGGTGTTACAAACACTTCCAGGATCGAGGGCAACTGTTCTATGAAGCATCTGCTATGCCCTTCCTCTTCCTGAAGGAGTATCATTCCCATCTTGAAGGCCCAGCAGCGCATGAACATAAAAGCACGGTCAAGCTCCTGCGCCTGAGATGTCGTAATGAAGACTTCTGTTCGGGAGCTGTTCCCACTAGCTTTGGCAGTGTCAACCTTTCTGTAGACACAGAAATGCGTCGGGCATGATGTTCTAGAGGCTTGATGAGCAGCGATGAAAAAAAACATGCGCCAGCCGACTGCAAACAAGAGGCACGCGCACACGCCCTGACGACACAGCTGTAGGTCACGGCGTTCGGCTGAACCATCTCCTCCCCACAATGTGACTTCGTGATGGTTAGCAACCTGTGCAAGTTTCAGAAACATGGACCCCTCATGCTGACTCGAAGGACCCCTGATGATACAAGGATCCCTTGTAGGCAACTCTTGATGAAAACATAAACCCTTTCTCCATAGCTGTCATGCAAAGGACTCGTTTCTCCCTGTATTGATCTAGACTACGATACACCACAAAACCCTCGTCGAAGGGCAGGGGACTTAGTAAGTAGGTTATAAGTAGAGTTATAAGTACCCTAAATGGAGTTACCCCAATTATAACCCTACTTACTAGGTCCCCTGCCCTTGCAAGTACGACACCTTGACAGGCTCGAGCCTCCGGCAATTGGTTGTTAATTCTCCGGACATGGGTTTCCTGCAAGAGTTCGTGTAAGGGACCTCTCTGGGCTATGTAACCTTTAAAAATCGGTAGACTGTCGTCCAGGGCTCGGCCTGCGCAGGATCCAAATTACTACTATTCAAAGCATTTTTGTGCAAGAGCCCCTTCCTTGCGCAACAACCAGGTCAAGGTAATGAAGATCTCTGCTGCGTTTGCAGTCGGGAAGGCACACTCAGAGTCACCATCCCCTCTCCGTAATTATGGACTGAGGCATTTCAAACCATACTCAAGATTGCTTTATAACTGGGGCCTCCGCTCTAACACGTTTTCTTTAAACAATATTTACCTGTTAATTGGGGGGGCCATTTACCACATCACTTTCTGTTAATGGGGGGCCATTTACCACTCAGCTTCTCTGTTAATGGGGGCCCATTTACCACTTAGGTTAATGGGGGCCCACTTACCCCTTAACTTTTCTGTTAAGAGGGACACATTTACCACTTAACCCCGTTTATCACTCAGCTTTTCTGTTCATCCGGATCTAAGGCAGGGTTAGGCAGGGATAAGCGGTAGCCAAGGACAAAAAGTTAAGTGATAACTCGAGATAATAGGACAGAGTTAAGTGGCAACTCGGGGCAAAGTTGAGTGGATTAAGTGGTAACTAGGGGCAAAGTTAAGTGGTAACTCCACCTAACTATGGCACAGATACGTGGTAACTGAGCGCAGCAGCAAGTGGTAACTATCTCAGGTGATATAGCCTAAAGAACCCCCCCTCTCCAAACCTGATAGAGCAGACCTCCAACACTTATAACTTAAGGACTACTTCTTGTTTAAAGGGGGTATCGTGCGTGCCCTCTGGGCATTTGAGGTACCAGTAAGTACGAAATACCTGTAGGGATACCATGGCCCGTCCCCCGATACAGACACCTACAGGAAAGGAGGTTGCATCCTTCAAAGGTCCATGGAAAGCGGATCCTCTTGTTTATAATGATCTTAAACCCAGCTCTGCACTCGCCGCGAAGGCTTGTGAAGAGGACCCGGGTCTCCCGTCAGAGTGTCCTGTATCTAAGAATCTGACGTGTGTGGAGGATGACTCTACCTCACTCTAAGACTCTAGATTCTGATCTACTTAGCACCTTAGAATCCACATGATCCTCCTCTTCTTGGCCACCAAACGCGCTTCCATAATGTGGCCGTCGGATTGCCGACCGGAATCACTTGGTCTTGCATGGAGTTTTTTGCAGTCGTGTGCTGTGCCGTGGGGTTGTAGCTCGTTCGCACTTTTCCCGACAAGCTCAACTGCTCCGAATCTCGTTACGATGCGCTCGAGACTTCAAGCATCGAAGCGCCCGGCGGCACGCTCTGCACGGTTTCATGGAACTGTCTAACGGCACGGCCTCGAGGCTTAGTCTGTGGAAGTGTCTGTGTCCCCCTCTATCGCCGACTCCTTGTTAGAGTGGCAAATGGTGACTATGCCAGCGAACGAGCTGATGCCTCGTGCAAGCAAGGTTTGCAGCAAGCAGCGACCGCAGCAAGGTAGCGAAAGAAGTCGGCGCATCCCAAGACCTCGGTGATACTGCGACCCTCCGACAGAAGTCAAGATGTCAAGCCGCTGCCAACAGCAGATAGGTGCGTCCAAGAGGCATGCAAGTGCCAGCATGACGGTGTGAACAGCCAATGGTGCAGCAAACCACAAGAGATGCGGGGATCCTCCTGAAGGCTTCACTTCCCAGAAAACCATGCAAGGACCGAGAATGAGAAGATCGAGGGTGACAAGCTTGGCCATCATCTTCAAGATGAAGCATCTTTCATCTCTTGAGCGCATCCAAAGAACCAAAACTAGAGCAAGCCGAGCGCCCGCACAAAGAAGTTGGATCCAAGCAAAGAAGACCTTGTGCATGTACATCATCTGAAAACATACCCTAGCCAAGGCAAACAGTCCAGTCATCAGGGCCGCGAAGGGAAGTGCGATCTCGGCATGCCCCGCGCTCTGAATGTCGACACCGGCGCGAGATACTTGGGTAAGCGTTGGCGATGACATGCCGGCTGTTAACCTGGGCTCTCGTCACGGGGCTTAGCTGAATATAGAGTTATTAATATGTGTTCCTTGTCAAGTGATGTCTCACCACAAGAACCGAGTGGCAGGACAGAGATTGCATGGTCCACAGCATCAGTCTTGTCGCCAATCTCCTGGAAGATTCGCGCTTTGTCTGCCGCCTCTGAACATGCAGCTTGGGTTATAGTGCCTTCGAAGCCATTGCTGAGCTGGAGTGCCTCCAACCTCGTGATCTGATCGCTGACACGATCAGTTTCAAGCCTGGGAGCTTGCCAGGGAACTGCCCCAAGGACTCGCTGTTGTTCGACCTATCCCTAGTGTAATTGCACAAACTACATTCCTGAACAAGGACCCAGGAGCAACAAGAAGAAGCACAGGCTGGTCACAACGACAACGATTTGCGCCACAAAGGGCAAATAACATTTACCAAAGGCTTGGCAGATCATCGCCGTGCTTCCAAGAGTATGCCAAAAGAGGAGCATGAAGCCGCACAGGAAGGCACCCAGCCTGTTGCAGAAGATCCGACAATAGTTGCTGTTGCTTGTGGCACTGGCAGCAGCGACGGCTATTGCAGAAAGGCATAGAAGCGCTTCGGGCCAGTCTTGTTCCAAAGGCTTCGTGCATGCGCCAATCGGTATGCCCACAAGCCCTGGCAGCACATTAAAGCTATCTGACACCCGGGTGCCGATGCCGACTATGACTATCTGTGACTATCTGTCCGTCTGTCTATCTATATCCAATCTTTCCGCCAATCTCTCTTGTCTTTATCTTTTCATCTTTTCATAAGTCTATCTTCTGTCCATCCGTCCATCAACCCATCGGCAGACCTATCTAGATTGACTTCTTGAGACTCTTCAGCTACCCGCAGGGGGGCGTGGAAGATGCCAGGGCCCCCTTTTAGACTCTCCTGCCAGGATCGTAGATGCCAGGGCAGCTCCAATCTGCTTTAGGTTGGAAGCTCTTGCGATGAAGATCATCTTGCCCTCCTCCTGTGCCCTGTAAGCTTCGTATCCGCACCAAAGCCTGCAGCATATCTTGGATCACGGCGAAAATCCAATGGCTCCCTCAAACAACACAGCACAAACATGTAGCGGGGGCTCCGAACGTAATTTAGGGAGGATTCCTCAATCCAAAAGAGGCACTAAGACTTCGCAACCTGAAGCTTCTTGTCCCGGCCTCGTGTAAATGCTGCAGCGGCGGTTGGGCACGACCAAGACGTAGGTCGATGCCTGGAGGCACCGAGCCCTCTCTAAATCTTTTCAAAAACTTCTTTTTGCATCAGGGCTAGGGGTCTAGGGTTTACGGAGCCCTTTTTGCACAGACTTGCCCTAAACCCCTAAGTCCTAAACCCCTCAACCCTTAACGCCCCTAAAACCTTCAATCCTTGTCGTACCCCGTTCTATAAACCTTTCAAGGGCATCTACATCTAGGCCTGGAGAGCCAATGCAAAAGGCGATCTGCTGGGAGACTGAAGGAGGGCTCCGATGTCCTTGGGTTCTAGCAACGGGTTCTCTTATGGGCTATTTACATGGTGTTTAGAGCTGTCTTTAAGGGTTCCTTTAAAGGGTGGGTTCTTTCACGAGTTCTGGAATGATTTAAAGGTTTCGGGGGCTTTAGGGTTAGTTTGAAGAAACTTAAAGTTTAAGGTGCCGCAATGAGGGTGCCGCAGGGCTGTATACGCTTTCGGACTGTTCTTGAAGTAGATTAACAGGACAAGGTGGTCAGGGTTTACAGTTGCCTACACACACTTATAGAAATGCCTTAAGAATTGTATGAAGGGTCGGAGTAGCTAGACAGCAGTATGATCGACCTTGTAGCCCCCTAGTATCTTTATCGCATGACAATACTCGCAAACCCTGTTCCAGTGATCAAAGCCCCCTTATTGGGAGTTACAGCCCCGTGGGGGCTTGGAGGAGCCAAAGCGAACCAACATAAGCTACCGCAAGAATGATGCACATTACGTAATGTACGCTTTGTTATCCTATTCTAGTAACTTAGTAAACGAAGGTTGTTGATAAGAGCCCAGTGTCTAAGTTCTGAGGGTTTGCAAGCATGCAGCACCAAGCATGTCGTGCATCTGCAGGCCAAGAGTGTAAGACCTTCGAGAGGAATTCGAAAACTCCCTCCTGCCAAGCATGGGAGATAAAGAGCTGGCAGTCCAAGCCATCTGGATGTCTCATCAGGGCCCAGCTCACCTTGCCAGCTTCCTCCGTCACTGGCATGATGTGCTGTAGGTTCCTCACTACCCCAATAAGCCACAGAAACGAAAGGTTAAACTTTCCTACTAAACTATAAGAACCCAAAAAGTTTAAAGGTTAGGTATTGGGGATCTAAGGTTCACGGTGTAGATGCTCGGGCCGTACTGCTGGTCAACAGGGTCGAACTTATCAGAGCCATCGAGCGGAGGCTGGATCTCAGCGGCCTGGATGGCTTTCCACACTTCCTGCCACAAGCAATGTTGGGTCCGTATTGATTGGACCCAGGCTTTCCGGGTACATTGTTGTTATACTTATGCAAGGACTTTCTCCCTTCCTCCCTCTCTCTCTCTCTCTCTCTCTCTCTCTCTCTCTCTTCCTAAGCTATGAAGTTATGTTGGGGTTCGACGGGGATGTTTCAGTGCGTGAGCAATTATTCGGACTTCCTTCGACAAGTACTTCAGGTCGGCGCGGTTCACGCACCACTTGTCCGGAGCAACAGACTCGTGCAGAGCCAGAGCCTGCCATGTCTGGTACCTTCTGGAGCCATGGGCCATGCTGCATTGATACGTTTAGGGGTTTAGGGTTTCAGAGTTTTCTTTTTTTTTGAGGGCCCTTTTCCTTCTTGCTACAGTCGGTTTCAGAGTTTACTGCTCAGGGCTTAAGGAGTTAGGGCTTAAGGGTTTAGGGCTTAGGGTTTAGGGATTTCGGGGCTCGCAACTCGGACAATCCTGCGAGGCACGTGTTAGTAGGTCGGCTGAAATAGTTTGGACATGGTGATATAGTGCTTAGGGGTTCTGGGACGACGGGCTCAAACCCGCAGGTTTTAAACAGGTGTTCGGTACACTTTTCGACTTGTGCGCGTTGGTGTAGGATTTGGGGGGTCCAGCAGAGTTCGGGCTTCACTCAGCCTTGTGAATGCAGGGATTACAATGACAGATTCCACTGACTCCTTCAACCCTAATTAAATTCTAACCCGAGCTTGGCATGGGTTCATGTGCTTTCTCTTGGTGAATCCCTTCCAACTTGAGCCAAACATCCCGCCAGCAACTATGTAATGTAGGAGCATGTCCTTGCCAAATCCTCAACCGCAACACCATAGAGCCTGTAGCCGCAACCTTGAAGCACTCAATTCCTCAAGACCTACACCCCCCAAAACATGCCTGCCGGCTTGCCGACAGTAGCGAACCCGAACAAAGACGCCGAATGGTTGGATGCTTACTCAAAGAACCCCAACGAGAGTCAGTGCTGCACAAATCTGACTGGAGGGTTCCGGCGTCAAGCACATATGAACACAGCAGTTACAAACAGAAACATCTTGATACATATATATATATATATATACATACCAATAGATAGACAAATCCAGCACCTAGCGCGCAAGACCACATAGCAAGCTCTAATCAAACCAACTATCATAGTATTGATTGTGCAAATACAAGCTGGAATAGTAACAGTAGAAAATATTAATACCAACATTGACAATCGGCCGGGCAGGGTTGTTTTCATATGGGCCTTGGCTAGGACTTCGGCATGGGGACTCCAGGAAGAAGGAGCGTTGATTTTGCACCTGAGTTATGCATGAAGCCCAGCAGCCCGAACTAAACTATATACGCCGGTGCATGTCTCGTCAAACATGCTGAATCCTTCGCGGAACCCATCTGTTACAGTTTCCGACTTGAGAATTTGTGCATTGGGCACATCGCATCCCTGTCCCGGCTCCTTGGTCATCTCCAGCAAGACCTCCATAAAGAGGGTACACCATGACGGTTACGCAGGCTTTTGTTACTTGTGTTTGTTACTGCGGCTTCTTCAGTTGTGGTGCTCGCCTTCGTCTGTTTTGTTGCTTCTGCGTCTGGCTTTTGTTGATGTTGCGGCCGCTGTTTCGTCGTTGAGGCTCTTGTCGTTGATCGTGGTGGCGGCTGTTTCCGCTACTGCTGAAACTTCTGCCTCTGCTGCTACGATACAAACTGAAACTAATGCAAATATGGGCATTGGTGGGAACATGAAATCTGATGTCAACATCAATCAAGAATGATCTTGATATTTGTATCCTTTGTAATATTCATATTAAATGCGCTTACTACCATTAGCTGCTGCAGCTGCAGCTGCTGTTGCCGCTGCTGTTGTTGTTGAAGCTGCTGTTGATGATGGCCACAGCGTCGACGACGATTGGAATCAATTTGGACTTTGCACTGGTCACAGTCATCTTTGCTTTTCCGTCTTCCAGGGCGCATGAAATCCCACTGACCGCCCCGTGTGGAAACGCCTCAATCGAGCCGGTAACGTTGCCCTGGCGCGCAAAGGCATTGACCAGGGCTGTGTAAGTCACGACGTTGGCCTTCAGGTTTAAGAGGAGCATAAGGGTCTTATAAGGATCAGATGCTGCAAGGTTCTTGGGTATTTCAATGGTTTCTTGAATTTCGGGTTATCTGATGTAGAGATGCGTAACATTAATGGCGATTCTGTTGTCTCTGGTCTTTGTTTGAAACTGCCCTTTCAAAAATGACTCTGCGGGGGTTGTCAAACTTCTACATGGTTCCGGGAAGTGCTGGAACCCCAGGGGCCTTGGAATTGAGCTTCTGATGCCTCGCAGCTTAGAGAAGGCGAGGTCCGGATTTCGGCATTAGGCGTAGGATTTGCAGGTTGGGGATACAACGACTGGACGAGTATGGTCTCGGCGGGTGGTTTCGGGCTTTCCGCGGTGTTCTGGCTCAGGATTTGTTGGGCTGTTCAGCATCTAGTGGTTGCTGATTGTACAAGCATGAACACTTCAAGTCTGTTCTGACGAGGTTCTACACTCTATGCTCTCTACACATGTCAAGGAGCGCTTGCTAAGAATTTCTTAGTCATTCAGACGATTGGGAACGGTTCTCCAGCAATCTGTTGTGTGTGTGTGTGTGTCGTTCGTTCCTGATCTCTCGGTGGCATTGAAATAAGCACACTCCTCTCCAAGATTTCTCAACGCAGGACATAGGCAAGACGTTGACTTTACAGACAGGGGCTCATCGCAGATCTGGCAATTTTGCGCAGGACTGCACCAAAAACAAAGCACATTCCCGTGGATGCACGGCCATAAACAGCACAGGTGCGTCTGTATCATACATCCATGTATCCATCCACCCATACATGCATACACACATACCCACATGCGCGCATACATCTTTGTACACACACACACATACATACATACATACGTGCTAATTTCATACATATAGACCACGTATCCATCCATCTGGCTGTCAAATCAGTCCGTCGGTCCATCCATCCATGCACGTTTGCTTTATATGAAAAGACGTCTAGGCATGTGGGTCCTGTCTGGATGCAGACACCATCATGACATTGCACTGAACTACACCAAGGATGCCCGCTCCGGAACGACAAAAAAGGGGTCTGTATGATTGGTCACACTATGTATGTCCTTCTCAGACTTATGTGACTCGACTGCGAGATGACGAGGTGCCTCAAAACTCCGGTCTCATCATCGAGGATCCCTGGTCCTTTCAAACCTGTACCAAAACCTGTAGAGACCAATTCGCGAACCAATAAAGCCTAGTCTAGTGCCAACTACGGTGCGGCAAACTCGGAACATTAAACCCAAAACCTAGTCTGTACGTGGAAAGGTAAACGCATAAACAAACAACTACTAAATAGCTAAATATCTAACCAACTATTTAACCACAAAATGGATCATAAACATCAACAAATTAGCAAGTCTAAGATCATCCAACTCCCAAGTTGACTCGCTGCTGACCTTTTCGTTGACCCCTCGGTAAACCTTTAGCTTTCTCGCTGTACACGTAGTAGGCATTTAAAACTCTCTCTCTGTCTTTCTCTTGCTTTCTTTCGCAAGGGTACAGGAGGATCGGGAGCTACCCCCACCCCCGGCCGTTAACGCCATCCATAATGTATGAGCAGCGTGGAGAAAGGGCGCACAAGGCAAACAAAAAGCACTGGCCCCTGAAGTAAGAACAACTGTACTGTCTCTCTCTCTCTCTCTCTCCCTCTCTCTCTCTCTCTCTCTCTCTCTCTCTCTCTCTCTCTCTCTCTCTCTCTCTCTCTCTCTCTCTCTCTCTCTCTCTCTCTCTCTCTCTCTTTTCTCCATAAATAGGGACATGCTCACCTATCATGGTTGACCGTTCCAACCCAAGCTACTTAGTTTAAACCTCCCCCTAAGAAGGCATCAAGCTGCCTTGGAAACATCAAACAATCAAGATTGTACCCGACTATACAGTACTACAGTTGTAGTATTGCGTAGTTCCATAACGGATGAGACTCCAACGCTAGCTCGCCGCCTAAGCTGCCAAGCTCGAACAAGTGTTTACAGCAGAATAGAGTCGCTTCCAATGTTCAAAAGATGGAAAACTCTTGCTACGGTAGGTCAGAACGGTATCATGTGATGTGGGGTTTTATGAGACGCAGACTCGCAGACAGTATCCAACCAAAGGGCACATCCAACACGCGTTCACCGATACTCCTTATACCAAGGAACCCCCGTACACTCTTACCAACATAGAAACCACAACCGTATTTCAGACAAGGCCTAAACCCCACGTAAGTTCTCATTTTAAAAGCCGTTTAGGATCCCTGAGTTACAGGACCATGCGTTCAGATGAACTGGAGGCGCCTTCAGCCCACGCGTGACCATTTCTCGGAACCTGAGATTTGGCTAGAGGTGGTCGATTGGTTCACGTAGAGAGGCCTTGATCATCCCAATGAGTTCTGGTGTATGTTATGCCTATTTGGGGTTACCAGGTAATGTTGTTAGTATGTGTTCAGACCCCGGCATCTGTTCTAGACCCCTCACTTCAAACACTGAGTTTTTGAACAATCTCTAGCCTAGCTGAAACCATTTATGCTTGGGTTCCCGCACTTTTAGAAGAACCCGATAAACACCCTGCAGACACCTTGTAAGACACCAAAAAATCTGTTTAAGATCCCCATAAGACCCGGTAGAACCTTTGCAAGAGACTTCCTAAGAACCCTATAGAACCCCGTAGAAACCTTGCTAAGAGGATAAGATAAGCCCTAAATACTCAGATCCTTGTTATAAGGGCTTCAAGATGAGCGGTCGGAAAGTTTAAGACGCCCCGTCTCCAAACGCGATGAAGAGAAGCTGACTTTGAACCACCCCGAGAGCATGATCCTTTATCTATACCCCCCCTTAGAACTAGAGTAAAGCCCATCTGCTTAACATTCTGTTGGGTTTTATATGAACGAAATGACAAGTTCTTCCGAAGGAGACTGTAGTTATCAGTTATCAAGCCCCATAGACGGATTCTGGAGTTCCCGAAAACATCAGACCTCGAAAACGAATCCCCAGTTCGGGCTGCTCCCCAGCCCCGTAAGGGATCTATGAACTCGGACAGCGTATCAAGCTTTCTTTGTGATCTGAGTCTTCTAGAAACTTCTTTCCTAGAAGACTCAGATAACAAAAATGAGCCTATATACTTTGCAGATCCTTCCGGGGTCTCGAGAGTAGGCTGAGAAAAAGTGCCGAATCTCGCGCTATGGGACAACATACAGGTTCAGGGTTTACGGTTGCAGGGTTCAGGACTCGCTCATTACCCGAACAGTGCGTGAATTACACACCAGGAGGTTCTTATTTTTGGAGGAAACGAGCATTTGTTGGAAGCTCGGTGCATAGTTTTGGTCATTTACACAGGAGCCCGATTGCAAATTCAAGCTTGGCCTCACTTTGGCCTCAAAATATCTGTGAGCGGCCAGTACTGTATGTAGGGGAAAGCATGTTGGCCGTGTCTCTGATCGAGGCCAGTATTCCCACATCGTACAGCCGCAGCCGAAGCCACAGCGCAAACTCTGAGCCGGATTTCCTGGTTCTCATCGTCTCATTGCTCTCCGTAGTAGTGAGCCACGGAAATACGACAAGTGCTCTGTTGGGGGTCCAGACAGCCAATTTTTGCGAGCAGGCTGCAGTGCAGACGCCTCCGCAACATCACCGGCCTGCGAATACCGGGGGCCCTGCAGGGTTTACAGGGATTCATGAGGGGCCGCGACTAGCCAGGCTTTATTGTAGTAGAATGTGTATGTAGGGACTATAAGGAGATACTCTTCAAAGTTAATTCCGACCTTCCCTTCAGCGACGGGATAAGGACTTAGTGACTTAGTAAGTCGGTTCTAGTTGCGGCCACAAACACCCTAGCGCCTACATGTGGTAATGCGCCCAGGAACTTTCCAAGTCCGATTTTAGACCGCTAGGCAGGGCTTGAGGGCTTGCGTTTCATGCAATCCGGCCGTGTTCGCAGATCCGGTCCCGAGTCAAAACGTTGAGCTGTTGGCTCCAGGCTTCGCTTTGGAAGACGGACCTGATCTGGTCCCAGCGTGTTGATGAATCGGCGCAAACTTTTCTGATGAATCGAGTGTTGCTTGAATGACGGAAATACCACAAGCAGAAGAGCACAATCTTCGCATAGGACTCTTGTATGTCGGGATCTTCGACCTTCTGAGCTTCAAGCTTGGGGCCTGTGATTGACGAGCCTCCGAGCTAGGGCACCCCTGTAGAGTCCGGAATCTGATATGGCTGACAACTGTGGTTGAAGTTGTATACTGCAATGGGGTGATAGCGAAAAGTATGCTTTGCCGCTTTCCTTTATGGTAGCTACAGTAATGTTCCTCCTTGACAGGACCCGGATAATGCAGTGCTAGGATGTGGGAACTTAAGCTGCTTGAGACACAGACCTATCAGTTGGGGAGTCGGTGTAGCAAAGGATTCCAGAATCCTAGTGGGTTTTCACCTGCGAGGAAAGTCTCCAGATAGACTAGGTCCTAGGTGCAAACGAAATACTCTGAGCAGTCTTTTGAACAAGCCGTAATCAGTGAAGCTTGCCACGTCAGAGCTCGTCTTTGCGGCGTAGGCGTTCAGCATGACGCTGCACGAGGGACACGCCCGTCGTGGGTGCCACTTTTGGGAGCAACTCGAAGCGGTCCACACGTGGGAATGCTTCATCTGGAACGGGCTTGCCCAGGAAGTCGCACAAAGGTGTCCAGCCATCCGAGAGGTTAAAGACGAGGAGGCGCTCTTTGGGAATGGTACGGAAGACCTTCTCCTTACTTGCCCCAGGTCCCCTAAGGTGTGCTAAGTACTGTTTATTATTCATTATGCATATTGTCATTGTTATACTTAATTCGTAATAACATGTGTAGAATATTCTTGTTGTTATTTTTAGTTTTGTAAACCCAATCCCCCAAGGAAAAGAAAGCTTCAAATGGAGAGTAGCACTAACTTCTAGGTGAAAAGTTGTACATCGGAGAACGAAGACGCCTTTATAGGGCCATTGTAAGAACCTTAACCGACCCGACAATATCCAGGTCAAACACACCATGAGGCCCTGCAACACCCGTATGATATCCTTTTATTGATCCCTTGAAAAAGCTGTTGATTAGTATCACGGCACTGAGAAGGCAGATCCATGGCCAAACTCCTAAGCCATCAACCCTTGAACACCTTCCCGAACCCTCAACCCCTAAACCCTGAACTCGTAATCCTCAAAACTTAACCCCTAAATTGTAACCCAAAGCCCAGGCTCTTTGTGTTGTTGAAATCCTTTCAAACATCGCTGCCGGACCTCTGGATCGTTGCGATCGTCCTGAGTTTCCGCAGTGCTCCGAGTGGGCTAGTGTTTAGCGTTTAGGTTAAGGAACTGGAACTGAGGTCCCGATGTGGGAAACGACATGCACTATCCGCACACCCACAAAACCTCAAGAACACTCAGCTGGAACAGTGCGGAAGGCCTTAGGGCTAGTAGTTAGCAACAAAATGATATGATGATATGATCTCTCTAATATATCTTAATGAAAGATGAAAAACATCACATGTAGTATAGCAGTACACTGTAATACAAACAAATTAGTACATTTTGAAGTATGTATACATAATGCGCTCGACCGTTACCAAGCAGATACACCTCTGCTGATATGAATTCTACTCACTCAGCAAAATCAACGGAACTGTGCTTTCATGTGGCGTAAAACAACATGGTACGAGCTAAGAGCAAATTAACAAAAATGATATAATAGGGCATAACATAAGGTGCGAATTCGAAATATTTCACGCAAGTGTGATATCATAAAAATACTCTTATATAGTGCCATAACATAGACTATGATGACGTCTAATGGCACAGAGTATGGTATACTACAACTTGACAGCATACAGTACATACCATAACCGCAATGCAATACAACCGACATGACCAAGTGTTGGTATAAAGCCGAAACAACATTTTGAAACATACTACCCGATCGTGGTAAAGAATGTACTTGGCTCTGATAGAACTATACTTATGGAAACAGTCAAACGTGACACCACATGGCATAATGTAAAACAAGCTAGTATAACGCATTTCTACCAAACACGGTATCAGACAATTCAGCAACAGTTTTGCAGAGTAAAGTTGAGCATGATGTAGTGAAGTATAGCATAAGCTAGTTGATCAAAAAACAGATACAACAGAACACAACCAACAGAGCAGATAATGAACTAGTAGAAGAGAACGGACCTGACTACTCTTCACCTGCGACCGGGCCGAGGCTGACTACGCGAGTCGTGCACACTGAAAGAACAATAACAATAATGGTACTAATCGTAGTATGACGCCTGGACCCTGAAGCCTTAATTCCAGTCGCGGCGCCAGATTCTCAAAACGGCAGCCCCAGTCATGGACAGAGTTGCATTCCCAAAATTCTGCCGCTAACCCTGGGGCCATGTTGTCGACGTCATTGGGGTTCTTCGGCGGATCCTGTCCGGCCTGTCTGTGCGATGTCTTACCATCCGACAAAGGAGAGATGTGGAATAGGGTTGTCATTGTTTTTCGCTGTTGCCACACTTGCTGCTATTGCTCCCATTAATTACTCTCATGAATGTTATTGTCAGTCTTTTAATTGGGGTGTAGGGGTTGAAGCTTAGATGTTTCGAGTCTCATGCGCGCGCAGGGCAGTCAAAGCGTCGGATTATGAGTTTAGGTCTTCAGGGTGTTGGGGTGTAGGTTCAAGCCATCGCATACTGCTCATGTTTAAACCCCCCAGGAATTCGTTCTGGTATCCCATGAGTCCTTAGCCTTTTGTAACGCCACCATGCGATTCATGGGCTCTTTGACATGGATAACCGGCGGAGCGTGACGGTCACCTGTTCCAAAATACCTTGCTTGTCAATTTTTCCACGTGAAGTAAAGGTTGACTTTCGGGATGAGGTGGGAGTCTAGTAGCCAAAAAAAGCTAAAGGTTGCTTCATGTACTACTAGCATGCCCATGAGGGAGGTGATCGTAGAAGTTGATGTAGCTATCATACCATGTCTCGGGATCCGCAAGAGTGTACACAAACTTTGCATCCGGGTATGCGCGCAAAACTTCCTCGTAGAGGAGGTGGAACGGCTCGTCCATGGCTCCTTCGAATCCCTGAAGCAGCTCTGCTGGAAAAGGGACGTCTTTCTCCATGAGGTATTGGCAGAAGGGGACGCGGAAGCTAGAATAGTATCCGCTCCACCTGCGTTGTTTAAAGGGGCCCCCCATGAACAACAAAAAATACCTCTATCTATTGGTCGGTAGGATCATAGGTTGTGTCGTATAAAGACTGCACGGCTGTGTCAGTTAGGCATCCCTGCGACTATTCGTGCAAAGGTATCTCCGGAAAAGGCTCTAAGCACTCATAAAACACTAGATACATTCAAGTGCCACCTAGCCACAAGGTGTTCAGGCCAAGCATCTTCATGGCTGTCCACATGCTTTGCCTCACTGCCCCAGGACTTTCAGAATGAGACTTCAAGTTCTAAGAAGCCCCAACGTGAAGGTTAAGTATCGGAGAAGCAACAACCATTTGGTAACCCGAAGGGTTACCTATCCTAACTTACTTAGTCACTAAACGTAGAGGCCGGATTAGTGAATTCGCCTCGCTTCTTGCAGAGCGTGATAGTAGGGCCTAGTAGGGGCGAGCAAACTAAGGCCGTCAAGCCTTACAACCCGTTGTAAACTTGAAAAGCCGTTGTGCAAAAACAAGTAGAATGACAGGCGCCCAGTTGCGTGCCCGTGCGTGGAGCGCCTACATCGAGAACGAACTCCGCCACGGATCGATGCAAAGATGCTGCGAGGAACAGCCGGAACATGGACATCCTGGGTTGTGATTCAGAGCGACTGGGCTTCGCAGCAGGGCGTACATAGAAGCCGTCTGGGCTGGGATTTAAGGGCCTGCGAAAACCAGCTCTGGGTAGCTACCTGTATGCGTATTTTCAGATCATCAAGGCGAGGACAGAAAAAAGGGTCCCAAAACTAAAACCGAAAGCCATTAACCCCAAAGCCCTAAGCCCAAACGTGCCAGGAAGCATCTTCTGATATGAAGGGCGGCCGCCTTTAGGTTTTGAAAGGTGGCCTTAAAGGAAGATCTCGGCCGAGTGTTTGAGCCAAGAGACTTCGAGAAGTTGTATAATTTCTATGAGTTGAGGGAGGCTGTGTGGGGTTTAGGGTTGCTTTTTGCCTAGGGCTGGCGGTTTTGCCCCTAAGGAAAAGCCTTCTGACAACTTCCGGCTTCCGACCCGTGAGTTCAACTCCCCGAATCCTTCGAATGGAAAGTCTCCGACGGTTAAGGTTGAGGGTACGAGCCCAGTACCCCTGTATTCAGGCTTAGTCCTCAAACTGTACGCGGCGTAATATTGTGTATTGAAGTATATTCCATCATTTAGCTCTTCGGGTCTCCATCATCATGGAGATTGCTGCTGCGGGCTTCGGAAAGACAATCAACCCTCACGGCGACTTCCTGGCTTCTAGTTGAGGACCTTACTTCGGTGTTGTATGACAGCTTAGCATGCAAAACTGACGCTTCACAACTAGGACAGAGGACCGACAAACAGACCCGGCTTTTTGTTATTTGTGGGTAATGAGTATCAAACCAATTTTGCTTATGAGCAACTAGACCAATGCGGGCATCGAATCTACATCTTATGGCTCTCACAGTTTAGGGTCTACTTTTGAGTTTGGCAGTATATATCTTTTAGCATCGGGGCCTTCCCAGCAACGTTCACCAACGAGGAGTAGGTGATCGAATCTGGACAAAGCCGCCTGGAGCAGCTGCAGCGGCGTTGGTGCCGCTTCTGATACATTCTCGCATCGCGTTACTCACTGTCTTGCTAGGGATGCTTTTGCTGTGGTTTCCGTGCTCTCGAGCGGCCGTTGTTCTGCTTAAAATCACCGCGCAGTCGCTGAGTGGCAGTGGCAAGAGTAGGATAGCGAAGTGGGCCACTGCTGGCACTTACTGTAGCTCCTACCCCTCATGCTGCTGCAGTGTCACAACGACGACGACCACCACTACCGATTTGCTGCTGCCACTGCTACTTCTTTCGCTGCCACTCCCACTCCCACTCGTCCAGACTTACAGCAGCAGCAACAACGACAACAACCACACACCAGCAACACACCAATACCACCATCATCAACAACACGAAGAGCAACGACAACGGCCACAACAACGACAACAACAGCAACAAACAAACAACCAAGCACAAACAAGGAACCACGCAAGGAAAACAAACAAACAACAAACAACCAAACAAACAAACACACAACCAACCACAAAGACAAACAAACAAACAACAAACAACCAAACACACTACCAAGCCAGCAAACAAACACACAAACAACCATACTAACAACAAGCAAACACACACGCAAACAGCAAACAAACAACCATGCAAACACTGACTCACCGACACACGAACAAGAAAGCAGACAGACAGACAGACAGACAGCCCGACGAACAGACACAGAGACGGACAGACAAACAAACAAGCACACAAACAAACACGCTGACACAAACAAACAAACATTCAGAAATACAGGCCAGAAACAAAACACAAGCAAGAAAACACACAACAAACAACCAACCAAACAAACAAAAAAAACAAACAAACACATATGCAAACAATCAAGCAAGCAAGCAAACAACAAACAACACACAGCACAACACCAAAAACAACAACAACCTACAACAACCTACAACAACCTACAACAACCTACAACAACCTACAACAGCCTACAACAACAACAACTAGTACTAGTACTAGTACTAGTACTAGTACTAGTACTAGTACTACTACTACTACTACTACTACTACTACTACTAGTACTAGTACTAGTACTACTACTACTACTACTACTACTACTACTACTACTACTACTACTACTACTACTACTACTACTACTACTACTATTTCTACTTCTACTTCTACTACTACTGCTACTACTACTACTACTACTACTACTACTACTACTACTTCTACTTCTACTTCTACTTCTACTTCTACTTCTACTTCTACTACTGCTACTACTACTACTACTACTACTACTACTACTACTACTACTACTACTACTACTACTACTACTACTTCTACACTACCACCAATTCTACCACTTCTACCACTTCCACGACGACTAGGACTACTACCACGACGACCCCTACGACAGCTTGCATCAGCCTTTCTTCCATCTCGCGCAAGAGGTTCTTTGCTGCGCCGACATCTCCTGGCCACCGACTCGATGTTGCAAGCCACATGAAAACAGTTGTTGGCCTCCTCTATTGCCTGATTAGATCTCAACGAGTGACCTGCGAAATCCTCCCAGCTTCGAGTGGGCGGGTCGGCCACTTCTGCACCGATGAGGTTCAGACTTCAGGGAAATTTAAGGTTCAGCGTCTAGCGGTCGGGAACTTGTGGGTTTCCTCATAAAGAGCCGATTCAGTGGGAGACTCCACATAACAAGACGGGGTTTGGTGGTCAGTTGCAGTCAGCCGGTCATGTTATTTTGGGGACTATAAGGGGATTAATTAGCGCAAACTCTTGGTAGCTATTTCGAGCCCCCTTGCAGCTAGAGAGCGTTGATGATGTCGGTGGAGGCACTAACGTTTGACAGGCCCAAAACGGCTCAGACAAAGCTACACAGAACATGTCAAGTGCATCTCGGCTGTCTGCCCATTCCTGTGCAGGATTGCGTTCGCTCTCCTGTAACTGGGGTGTCTCAGCCGCGTGCGGCGTATGGCAAGATGCCGGAGGAGCGGTATTTACTCGGTCAAAGCTCCAGAACTCCGTAGCCAAGATGCCGATAAGTAGATCTCAGATTTTCTGGAGCGGTAAGGGAGGGTCTGAGTATCTCTGACCCAGGCCCGGTCCTTGTAAAGCATATCCGTTGATGAGTATGCTATACCTCGGAGAGCGGGCGCAAGTTGCATCGACAGCGCGAGGTTCCTTTTTGCATCAGGATTTGTACAATCCCCTGAAGGTCCTAACTTCCGTGCTCTGCAGAGATCCGCGCGAAGTTCCTACAAACCGAAACTCTTGGCAGCTCCTACCGAACGAGAGACCCTTCAGTAGGCAGCATGAAGGCCTGGTAGCAGACTGGCGCCTTACTTGGAGGGGCAGGGGACTTTGTAAGTAGGTTATAAGCAGGGTTATAATTGGGGTAACTCCATTTAGGGTACTTATAGCTCTACATATAACCTACTTACTAAGTCCTCTGCCCTTCCAAGTACCTCAAGGAAGAGAGATGCTTGAGTCGAGCGCCTTCCAGGTCTCGTGCAGCGCACCTGTCCTACGGTTGACGATATAAAACTCTGCATGAATCTAAGGACTCTAAACCATGGGAACTATGGCATATTCCTTATAATGGATCATGCAGGATTTTGTCCATCAGCAGTATTAGACTTTCCCTGAGCTTCAAAGCCCCGTAACATCTCAAAGCTTTTGCTGCAGGCTTGCTTGCAAGGACGCCTGGTAGTTTATTTTCTCAAACCTTAAACCCTGAATGCTAAAAACTGAAACCCGAATTCGCAAATCATGCAGGCAGGCTGCGGAATGGCACTGAGCTTATTACCTGCGAGGAGTCATGGTGAGGCTTCGTGCAATCGGAGGACGGTCCAGCTTGAAGGGTCAGGGTACCATAAGGCATAAGGAATTTGCCCGAAACGTGTACGTGAAGTAAACGGGCTGTCCTTCACACAGGGTCTCAATCTGTGGATAATTTCCAGTTTTACCAAGCACCCTCAAGAGTACCATATCCTGACCTAATTATGTCGACGGCTGTACTACCCGCATCTTCACTTGAGAGCCGTTGACCCTTTTGCAACTGGGCTTGGGGGCTAGCCAGATCCTTGCATCGCGGCCTTTCGTATCCTGAACCCTAAACCCCAGCCCCAGACTCGAGTTCAAGACTCCCCCCTGACGCAAAAAACATCGTGCAGTTCCACCTGAACATGCTACACAGAAGAAGAATAAACCTTCAACCCCGGCCATGACAACCACAGCCTCTCCTCTCAGTAGGCTATCGTCTCTCAGTAGGTTATAGTACCAGCAGCAGTGGAAGATTTTCGTCGTCGTCGTCGCATTGGGGTGATGGTGACTACAGTTATTACGATTATTGTTAGTATCAAAGTCATTATCAGTAGTAGTAGTAGTAGCAGCAGCAGCAGCAGGAGTAGTAGTAGTAGTAGTAGTAGTAGTAGTAGTAGTAGTAGTAGTAGTAGTAGTAGTAGTAGTAGTAATTTTTTGGCTCCCGCTGAGTAGCAGAAGTGGAAGTACTTGTAGCAATAGTAGTAGTAGCAGCGGTAGCAGTGGCAGTGACAGCGGCAGTGGCAGCAGCAGCAGGAGCAGCAGCAGCAGGAGCAGTGGCAGTAGTGGTAGTCGTACGCGTCCTAGTAGCTGCAGCAGGAGCAGGAGCAGTACCAGGAGTAGGGGTATGAGCAGAAGCACTACTTGGAGTAGAAGACGAAGCAGGAGTAGCATCAGAATACTAGCCGGGGTCATCATCGTAGTAGCAGCAGTGTCAGTAGGCACAGTCGTAGTCGTCGTCTTCGAATGCTTCCTGCTCCGATACGGCCTGGTAGCCCTGCACAAGATCTTGCCTGTGGGTTTAAGGCCTGAGCTGCACCTCAGCAACCCAAACCATGGAAAAACTGAACAATTTAAGCCAGGCCTGAACTCCTCCCTCCTACGGGTCCTTATCCGGATGCTCCGCCGCACCTTGATGCTGGAGTAGATGTCGGAACCAAACTTCGGCTCTGGAAGGAAGCTTGGCCTTGACCTTAAGTCTTAAGTTGAGGGGGCGGGCTTTGAGGCTTGGGATGCAAGGTGTGGTTGATGGTACTGCAGGCAACCGATCTGAGCCTTTTGGGTTATGTGTAGAAAATGGTTTCAATGCACATGGCATGGTCACACAACAGACTGTCCTCGAACTTATCTGCCGCCACTTCAAGCTTGACACCCTACACTGGCTCCGCAGAGCTTGGACCCTCAATCCTCAACTCCAGGCAGACGGGACCAGGAAACGAACCTGGGATTTCAGAGCTGCATTCAGAAACAAGGACTGAAGACAAGCAACAACGACCCCTGAACGAGATACGCTTGCCTTTGCAACCCCTGATCCTGAACGCCGAAATCCTACCCCTTAAACGCTCCTGAACCCTAAACCCATATATCCCGCCCCTAACCCTTAACAGCCCCTGAACAGCAAAAACACCGATCACGACAAGCTGCACAGGCGTCCATTGCAGAAGTGTAGCTGATGACATTTGGCGGGATGGAGGCCTTCAATGCAAACAGCTACCCGCGTATATAGGGGAACTAACAATTAGAAGGCTATTATTTGGGCTTATGTAATGACACACGCTACTGTACCATACCCCAAATCCTTGTGTCATTCATTACTCAGGCCCCGCATTTAGTTGTGATTTAGTCCTCGTATCACCCGATGTAGCTCAAGGACTAAGAGGACTGGCCTGTCATCGCTCAAGAAAGCCGAACACCCAAGCCCTCAAGTCTTGCGTTTGCAGAGGTGGGTTGCCCGTTCTGGCTCCAACTTTCTACGGCTGCTTTCGACTCACTGTGGCACTCGCACACATGCAGGCATGGAAGGGTTCAAGGCGCATCTTCCAGAGTGACACAGGGTTAACAATAAGAATGGCATTTGAGGGTGTAGTGTACTTTAGAAGTATGGCAGGCAACCCTAAAGAATAGTATCAATCTATACGATGCAGATGAACAGTATGAGCCACGAAGGCCACTGGACAAGCCAGTCCTCTATGTACCAAGCTGGTCATCGTGAGTATTTGCGCTGTGCATGTTGAGAACCAATGCCGAAGCATCCTGCTAGGAGATGTATATGGGAGGAAGCATGGACCATCTTAGACTCGTCTTGGAATGGTTGGCCTGAATAGTTGGGTAGATTCCACTGCAAGTGTATTTAGCCTGTTGGCGTATGCTCTTGCTAAACCCTCAGACCTTTGTGTGAGACGGCAGATGGGAGTTTCCGAAAATGGAAGACCCTAATATGGTGCCCTAGAAAGTAGGACCCGCATTATAAGGACCCCAAATAAGGTACCCCTAATTTTCGAAAACTCCCAAATTACACCCAAGAGCAGGATCTGGACGCAGCACCCTGCGCACTGCATGGCGGCATTGAACTCCCCTTCAAGCCTGCTACTGCTCGGCTGGTCTCAAAACACCGGAAACCGACGCTCCAAGAAGAAGAGCGCTCATCCTGCCACTAACATAGGTTCCTGACGCATTATAATAGCTTGTCGGCCTTTCAGTAGTAAGGCATCTTCTAGGACCCCTGCAGGTCCGAGTTCAAATCGTCAAGTGCAACGTGGTGACAAGAGCGTTTAACGCTAGCGTCTTTGAGCTTGATCATCATTCGGGCCGGCGAGCCTCCGTCATGTGCTGCAGAAACTCCTCCGTGCACGTAGAGTCTGTGCAGTTCATGCGGTTTTCAGCAGGTGGAGAACTGTCGCTAAATCCAGGTAGCCGAGAAATATCTCAAACCAACTGCATGGAAGTCGATGCCGAGATAGGCAGCCAGGAATTCAGAAGTCAGTAATCGCTGCAAAGAGCAGGTGCCCTCCACAAAATGGGAACGGGGTTGGGCGCAAAATACAATCCCAAAGCCCTGAACACAAATTACTAAACAACTATAGGGTGGGCTGTACTGTGCCTGGTCCTGACCTCCATACTGGGTGATTCAACAAAGACTTAAAACACCGAACTCTGAATCCCACGTCCCCGCCTGTCAAGTCTAGTCAGACATTCCACGACCCCATCCTGCTGATGGAGGAACCGGCATGCAATATCGCATTATGAATGTCCAAAAGTCATCAAACATCACTAGAACGTCTGGACCCTCGAACCGCGAAACCTAAAACAACGGAACTACGAATCCCAAGCTCCCACCTCCACCCGCTGAAAGTTGCCCTTCTTCGCCCAAGCACTAAGGAGCGCTTCCTTAGAGACAATGGGCTCTTCGGCGTGCAGCGATTGCAATTCACGATGGCACCTTGCATCACGATATTCAGCCCCTTACAAAGCCCCGTATGGTGTTATAAAGTAGAACAATCACTTAAGGGACCTTTGGCTCTTTTGTTGCATGTTTCCATGAGTTCTAAGTGCTCAAGAACTCAAACCCTCAAGCCTCAATCCTATTCTTCGTTGAAAACAAGACGTAGGTACTGCCGCCCCCTAAACCCTCGAAGCCCTTCAACTGCTGCGAAAACTTGCTCTTTTGTTTTCAAAATTGGGAGCAATGTGGGGTCCTTAATTCTTAGAGTAGGGTTTGGGTGGGGGGTAGAATATACGGTAATTCCAGCATCACACTGACTGTCTGAGGTGCTGTATTGCCTTGTTTGAACTGCTTTGCAAGAGTCTCCGTGTTGAAAACTGGGGTTCCTTATAAATGGGAATCCATCTACAATACGAAGTACACAGCTGCAAGCTGCGCTGCTCTGCACTCTCGGAATGAACCCGACTCATTGTTGCTGTACTCAGCAAGGCCAAGACTTCTCCAACAAGGCGTATTCCTTGAGTAAGTATACAGATAATGCGTGCTCTAGACACACACACGCAAACACGGAGACACATAGATATGTATGTACGCACGTATGTACGTACACACGTATGTATGTATGTTATGTACTGTAATGTGATGTAGCTTTATGTAATGCATGTACCCGTTCATGTATGTATGGCAGGATGTATGCATGCATATGTATTTGTGTGTGGTTTTCTGCGCAGATGTTTTGGTATACGTCTATATGCGCGTATGTTTCTACGCAGAATAAAGAACTTTGGCTTTCTGGATAGGCCAGTGTTGCACAGGCTTCCATAATGCTTCCCGGCCCTGTCGCGAATATACGGGCCTTGATAATCAGAATAGGGTTTGGGGGGATGTTAAGGTATAAGATGGGGGCTATAAGGTGATATGGCTGCTGGCTACTCAGACCTCTCTATCAACCTGACTCGCTCAAACCTGAACTTCAGACCTCTCTGTTAATATGTTTGTTGCAGCCGGGCCTCTATAGCTTGGTACACTACAAGCAAGTTGACTAAGCAACCGCTCGCAGCGCTCAGGTACTTACCGCCACTCCCCTCACAGGCGGTGCACTCGTGACTGAACTCCCCAACATCATTTCTGAATCCCACAAGCTTGAACCCGACTAGACCTTTCTTTGCGTGGCCAGGTGGCATAAGCATAGCGATCAGGCCGGACCCCTTGGCATTGAGTGGTCTGGGCGGCTACTGAGTAAGGACAGCCATGTCCCAAGGACAAGACTAATAAGGTACATTATGTACACATCATTTGAAGATGCCCACCCCGAACAACACCGCTATCGTATATACCCTTATCGCAGTATATAAACCCCTTGTAAAAAATATGCACTATCATACTTTTTGAATCGGTTACCATCTCCCCTCTTTTATACCCTTATCAGTCCATCTTAGTCTGAATTCCCTGATCACAGTCCCTCCAGAAGAGCCCAGCAGCCCTTCTCCATCATCGCGAAGAACCAACGCTCTGCTGCCTCCTTGCTGTGAAAGATATGGGTAGTTGTCAAAATTATGGCTCCGTTTTGGGTACCCTAAATAGTAGGTGCCGTATTGTATAAAAGACCCCAAAAAGGGACCACAATTTTGCCAAACACCCATATGGGCGTCTGAACTTACAAAGAGCCCCGGGGAAGAGTATGTAGGTTATCCGAAGCCGGACGGTAATATCAGGGCGTTGGCAATTAGAACTTAGGGCTTCGGCGGATATCACGATATGGTTGTAAAGGGAGACACGTGCATTACTGCCCCTATGATGCCACAGACAGAAGACTCCTACTATCTAGTGTCTACATATGTTAGGGGTATAGGGCCCATTCTTCTCTCACCCTCTCTTTCCACTGCCTGGTTGCTTTGCTTCCTGGTTCTCCCTCACGCGATTCGTGGCATGAAAGGCTCCAAAGCAGAAGGTAGAACAAGCTGAAATAGACAACAGAAGGGCCTTCACAGGGACTAGGGTTTCAGGGTATATGATGCTATACCTATATGAGGAGCACAAGGGGACACCAAACAGGACAAAAGTCCCTCGAGCTTCAAAGATAAGACTAAACCCGACCTTAAACCATTCGCCACATCTCCGGAGTGGTGCAGGCAAGTGCCACAAGAATCTAGGATGGACACGGCCTACATACACCGGCAGATAGTCCAAGTCGGTACACCATGGCTTTTGACTCTTCTGTGTCTTTGGGTTGAAAACTTTACTGAAACTCGCGTTGACATCTCCTGAACCACGCCTCAAGTTGTTTAAACGCGAGCTTGAAGCCTTCATGGTGGAGTCCTTTCGTATTCCCAAAGCTCACCCAGAAAATTGCAGACAATGGGTGGGCACGGTGGAATGAGTTGAGGATCTTGACGTTAGTTGAAATCTGACTGCTCAGTGGCTACCTTTGACGAGTAGCAAACTCCGGACGCTGGTGGTCATGCCTCTGAAGCCTTTACACCCTGCATAATACAGACTTCTGATGAGCAACCCGCTCTCCCTCAGCACGGGTGACTAGTACGACAGGGATCCCAATCTTCAGGTCCCTGACTGAAGAGTGCTTCTTTCACCACGGGTCTGCGTTGTGCTGTGCTCGAACCCTCAGAATTCTCGCTAAGCGGCCGGATCTCCCCGTCTGGCATGGGCTGTGATGAAGCCAGTGTAAGTTACCTCGAACGACAGCTGGAAACCCTAAACATCAACTGAATCCGAATCCCCCCAGATCCCCCAAACTCTGAATCTTACATCCTGAGTCGTGCTAATCAAAAGCCTATGTAAAGGACCCTAAACCGGCCGCCACACCTCGGGAGGTTGTTAGGATTCAGGTTTGCGCGAAGCAGCCGAATGTAGGGGCCTTCATGATTAGAATAGCTGGGATTGAAGCCCATTACAGTATACCTAGACTAAGGAACCCAAAGCAACATGTGCTTCGGGGTTTCCCTTCGTTTGTGTTCCTGCGCCCTTGGGGCCTCCAAAGCAATCCTAAGTTCTTGAGCCCGAAACACCTGACACCGACCTTACACATCGGCACAATCCCAGAACCACACCTTGCAAAGGCATGGGATCCTAAAACCCGACCAGCCGCAGGCTTCGTGGCCTAGAAAATCAGAACAGGGCTTTGAGGCACAGTAGGCAACAGTTAGGATTATAATGAGGGAGGTCACGAATTATGGTCCCTATATTTAAGCCCCAGAGGCAGCATCGGGCACCAAACCCTTCGCCATCACCTCTTGGAGGAGCCCTGAACGATAGCAGGCAACAAGAACAAGGGGCTCGTCTAGGAGTTGTTTTCGGGTACCGGGCATCTCTAGTGCGGGTCATGATGGTGATGATCATGGTTTTGTGACCCTCGTCATCACCATCACTATGAGTAGTTATGCTTGTTCGAAGTAATCCACTGCCGTTTGCACTCCTGCCGCAACGGTCCGAGCTTCGAATTCCCAACCTTATTACTGTTTTGCTTATATAATTGCTAGTTCTCCCATGATGATTGCTCCTTTTATTATTACGATTGAGGTTGTCATTGGTATTATGATGAATGTAATTATCATCAGCTCATTCTTCCCATTATTATTAATTACTAGTATATGAGGAGTATCCGCAGCTTCGGGGGCATAGACCGACTCCAGGGCTCTTGGGGAACTCTCGGCCTCAAGACTGGAGCTGCGGTGGCTTGCGCCCTGCTGTGCTGTCATTCTTTCAGTCCTGGTTGTTGTTGTTGCTGTTTCTGCTGTTGCTGTTGCTACAGCTAATGATGTTGTTGCTGTTGCTGTGGTCGTTGGCGCCGACGGCGTCGTCGCCGGCGGCCTCTGCGTTTCAAAACTGACGTATTGCCCCGAAGAATAGCAATCAAGGCGACAGAGCCCCAAGAGATCTCCACAGAGTCAGACCAGAACGTCGTAACGTGGAAGGAGGACGAACAACCGCCCCTCCCCTGAAACAGGAACCGGCAGCCTAGCATCTGACTGCGTGACACTGACAGGGGACAAGGCAGCAAAGTGCGCCTTCTGCCTTTTGCAGGTGACCTAGAGCAAGCGTCAGAGACTGCTGGAATCAAGGCGGGATGAAGCGTAGTACCCCAGCCTACAGAATCTGAAACCCATCAGCATGGCGAGGGCAACCCTGCCTGCAAGGGTCGGGGTCCCAACGTCTCAACCCGAAGACATGGAGGTTGGTGATTTCGACGGTTCGTAGGGACATTGAAGACAAAGCCTGTCCGCGCATGAGTTCTAGGAAAGTGCGCTCCAACATAAATGTCTGAAAGTCAGCATCCTGAGGCAGTTGGCCTACTCAGAGAAGCCCAACGTCGCTTGATCAAGACACATACCTTAAACTGCACTACGACGCAGAATATAGTTCAAGGAAGATTCCTTCGTCAAGGGGTATCGGGCTTCTGGGCTTTCTTTGCTGGATTGCTTTCAATCATGGCGAGTCCCCAAAAGCAAAGCTGCAGAACTCCAGAACCAAAAAGCCCCAGCAAGCGACGACGTAATACAGGGGCCTTCATAATTAGAATAGGGTTTGGGGGCCCATTATACTTCAACTATGATAAGGACCCCCCCCCCCCAAAAAAAAAAAAAAAAATAGTATAGGTAATCATTTAGGCCCCCATAGTATGTCTCGAGCTTGAGGGGGGTTTACGGGCTCTGAAGTTTAGAAAATGTAGGCTAGTGGCCCACCGAGAAAGCTTAGGTTTTTCTGAAAACGAGCCGCCGTTGTTGGCATGGCCATTGATGATCGCATTGTACATGAGCAGATTTGGAGACAGGTCGGCGTCGACTGCTTGTCGCAGCCAATCTTCCTGGATTGAAAACGTGAGAGACTCAGGACAAGGGTTGCTGGGTCAAGAGCGCACCCAAATCAAGAGCTCAAGGTTTGCGACATGATTTTGCGTTGGGTCCGAGCTTGGTGTGAGCGGGGGAGTGGAGCTGGCCATAATATGACCATGCGTGATTCAGGATTGAGCCCCCAAGCTGCCACCCTTCAGTCCAGTAGCGGCAGCGTCCATGTCGCCCAACCTAGCCTCGGCTGTCCCATGCGCCTAGTGGCTGAAGCTGTCTGAAGGAACAACAGCAGCAACCGTAAGAATCCAGGGCGAGAACAGTTCAGCGCCACGAATGGCGAGAGGTGCACAAGACTTCCGAAAGTTGCTTTAAGTCGACAAGAACATTTCAGAGGCTGCAAAGGCAAAATGTGCTGATGACAGTGACAGTGATAACCCCAAGGACGATGCAAACGCATGTTCACACTTCCGGCGGTGAGCGGATTGTAGATATCCCTGGACAGCCGTTCCAAGATGCTCTTGACCCGAGTCGGAAACAGCATGTGGAATCACTTTAGCTACTGTAACTCCTAAACCCGAAATCCTAAACCGCTAGGTCATGCTAAGCTTCCTGAATGGGAATTTCAGAAAATGACGGTCTCCAATACAGACACGAAATCGCAAAACTTCTCGATTATTGTCTGAAGCCCCCACTTGCAAGCTTCCGTGCCAGGTGTTACATGCAGGCTCGAGGGGCATAGGCGGAGATCATCGCGCCGAAAACCACAATGTCCGGGACAAGGCCCGCACTTGTCAGACCTTTGTGGTCGAGGAACTGGGACATCCTTGCATGCTCAGGCCTGGGGACCAAGACTTGTTGTCTATCTCGGATTCAAGGGGGCGCGGCATAAGGGTGGCCGACAAAGGAAGCACCATCTTTAAGGCTGATGTGGTCCTTTTTCTTCAGCCGTTCTCCTGCATTGCTGTACTTCTGCAACAATCCATCAACCAATCTTTGTCCGGCGCTGTTGGGTCACTCTTGTTGCCAGTTCATGTCGGTATTGCTGCCGCAGGACCGCTTCCATCCCGGCGGTGCGCTGCCGCTGCGGCGGCTGCGGTTGAGCAAGTTACATTTCATGATGGTTTTCCCGATTGCTGCTGCGACACATGACCGGTTTTGCAAGTGGTGATGCTCTTCATCTGGTTATGAAGACGGCGATGCGTATTAACTGTCCTTGTCGCGCTCGCCACCTCGGCAATGACACCCCTACAGCTTGGGACGATTGGGGGGGGGGGGGGGTTGGCACTCCGAAAATGTGAAAGCTCTTAAATTTTCTTAGGATTCACAGCTTCGGGTTTAGGGTTCTTCAGCGTTCGGGGCTGTGTGAAGGCATCTGTTGCAATGCCCGAAGCGAGAAGAGCACTTTTGCTTGATGTCGGACCCAGCCAAGGTGTGCATTCCGTGGTGCCGGTGTTCCACGCTGACCTGTTTGGCTGTGAAACGAGGCCTGCAATGCCCGAGACGAGGTTGCGCTCCAGCGAAAATCTCCATGCTTGTCGCATGGGTCTGCCACGCACATTTGATGCAACGATCCTGTCGATTCATGAACAGAGTAGTCGTTTTTGGTTGTAGCCGCTTCTCGCTACAGCGATTAGCATCTGCGTGTCAGTGCCATCGCCGTGCTACAGTGTACGGTATGCTCGAAATTTATTATGCGCATCAACATCGCGAGGTCGCAAGCCAGGGTCCTTCATTGGCCCTGAGCGATGAATTCGGCAGGGCCGCGAGAGAAGATGCCCCGGGCACCCACCATGTCGCCAGCCTTGGCGAAGGCCTGGCCCGGATTCTTGGACTCTTTCGGCCCGTGCGATGCAGGCATGAGCGCACGTGGAAAGCAAGTGCTGTCGTCAGGGAATTACAAAGGCTACGAGCAAAAGAAACATGTGAGCCTTCAAAATTCTGACCGTTGACTTCACCTGAACCGTCTGAACCTTTAACTGACGCAAGCCGGCATTTGCTACTGAGTCTCAGCTCGAAACGAAAACCAAATCTTAACTCCCCGGGTCCCAGACTTCAGCTGGTACCTTATTTCGACACACACTCTCGCACACAAAACCAGGCATCTGATGTACGGCCTCCACATCGAGAACTCATCACAGCTTCCCTTACTTGTCCACGAAAGGTTGCAGGCTATCCACTGGACACTTAAGTTTCAGTAAAGGTCTGGTGTATGCAGCTCTGTGCTTGAACAGGACCTGTCAGCCACCATCCATATGCTCTACACAGCGCCTCCAGCGCCGCTGTGAAGCTAAGGAGATCTGGCGCCAGGTTCCTGGTTTGCGACTTGTGATTCGCTGACTGAAGCAATCAATCCCTCATCAGGCTCCAGGCATGAGGACTTTTACCTTGGAGGAAGCCCCAGCCAACCTCTTTTCTGTTGCCCATGCCTTTCCTTTGCAACACGCTACAGTCAAACGGCGACGGTAAGGCGCAGAGCCGGATTCCAGGGCCAGGAGGAACAGCGAATACAAGTTGCTCGGAAAGCCATGTTGCAAAGTGGCACAGGTCTGAAACTATCCAAAACTCTTACAATGGAACCGGAAACGCTACTCCATCTAAACTCTCTACCGATGCATCCCGACGGCCGACCTTGGGACTCTCCGTGTTTGGGCTTCCAAACAACATAACAGCTTGCGCATGCAGCATGAGCATGCATAAACTGCGTGGACGCTTGGTTCATACAGCATTCCAGGCTTCGAAGCACACGCCGAATCTGGGGAGATGCGTCTCCGAGGAGCTGTGCTGTGCAGTCTCGGATTTTTCCGGAGTTCCGGTTTGGAAATCCCCCAAACGCATATCTCCCGATGCAATCTGCAATACTCAAACACACCGAGTGTCGCAGCGTCCATCTCCTCAAGCAAATTCAGCGCCGCCTCAATATCACCTGCCTGGAAATGAAATAGAGGGACTGTTCGAGACCCTGCCAAGAGCGGGTTTCCGGTTCTTCCGTTACCAAGTACGAGCAAGATAAATCAAGGATGCGTGGGCGAGTTGCGTGATGAAGACGATAGGGTCGGGAGAGGGTGATATGGGTGAACAACCACCAGTCAAAGGGCGTACACGAGGATGGCACACACCCCGCGTGCATAAGCTGATATGCAGGAATGACGGCTTCAGCCAATTCTTCTTCCACTGAAGATGACACTATGATGTCGAGACTGTGACGGCAGAGGCGACGACTTCGGTCGACCAGCCCTCTGCAATGGATCCAGCTCGCGGCTTGACATCTGGCCCTAAGCCTCAGACCTTGCTGGACAGGGGACTTGAATGGCAGCATCCAGATATTTTGGGAACCCTGCATCAAGCTTTCCGTGATGTTAAGAGTCCCCCCCTCTCCCCTTCCTGCCAAAGACCTTGGCAGCAGCATCAAGCATGGCGCCAAATGCAGGAAGATCTAGCCTCGACTGCTGTGGTTCCAAGAAGGCTCGGCTTTTGGATTTTCAACACGCGCTCTCGGACAAGCCTGGCAGTTGTAGGTACGGCGAGCTTGCGTTAAACCCGTTCAACAGGTAGGTTTACCCACTGAGCTGCTGTCAGAAAGAACAAAGGTTCCACCAGACCAACTCTTGGATTGGGGCTGTTGGGTTTGCCTCTTGAAGGCCAGTGGACAAACTGCAAATGTACTCAGACTTGGACCAAATCCACGCATCTCTTTGCTTCGGCTCTGCACGGCATATCCTTCTCCAAGTTGTTGGCACGGAAGTGCACCAGAAATTGGAACCACGGCTAAAATAACCGCCGCGTTGCACGTTCCCAAGGCCAGGGGTGTAAGGGACTGTTTCGCTAGTGGGAGCACTGCCGATGAGCGTCTCTTCGCCACTTGCATCAAATTCTGCACGCAGGCCTGAGATCAGTTTCGTTGAGTTCTACGAGTTTACCATCGGCTTCTTGAGCAATCTTGATTCCGAAGGTGGTGGCAGTGCTTTAGAAGCAATAGCCTTCGTGGTAGAGGCAACTGCATCAATGGGTGTCGAGGTGCTGGTGGCAGTGCATGTTTTGTGAATAGAAATTTGTGACATGCTCGCCGCTGGATTAGCTGCCTGAACTGTAATATAGGTGCCATGCATCACTAGGTACGTGCGCACGCTTCAGAACCAAAGTGTTAAGCAATTGCAAATATCATCGTTTCACAACACCATGAACCAGAAACCTTCTCAGCTGCGCACAGCCCTCGTTGAAGTACTGTCTTGCTCGAACCCCTGCAACAACTCATAGAAACTATGCTTACCAAGTATCGTGCTCAAGAGCCCTTTCCACACTCACCAAAATCCCCGCTGCAAGCCCTCTAAGAGTAAACAGCAAGCACTAAGCAGGATGTGGCAAAAGAACGCCCCAGAATCTTCACGGCTATGGTGACAACGGGGGCTTGGGATCTCATGGGTATTGGAATTTACGTGTGCCGAGAAGCGGTCGATAGCGTCCACACGACCACTCTTCGCAGCAGCATCCATGCAGATCCGTATCCACCTGGATAAAGCAAGGCACAGGAGCCATCGGCATCGCAGCCGCGGTAAGTTGTCGAATTGTCGCGCGGGTAAATTCCAAGCTGTCGGACTGTCTCTAAGCCCTAAGCCCGAAGAAACCCTGAACCTCCCCTCAAAAACAAAACACACGACATTCTTATCCCTGCAACCCGGAATCCTCAAAACTCTCAAGTCCTAAACCCTGAAGCCGTGAACCTTGAGACTGCCACTCAGGCACCCATCGCCCTGGCAGAGCTTCTTGCACTCCTGTAGGGAACTTGCCGGTTCCAAGAAGCTCTGTATGCGCACTAAAAAGGTTCTATACAAGGTTTCGACAAAGTACTACAAGGGTACTTGCACTTCTGAAGGGCACTCGCTGGGTAGGGTTGCTGCCAAGGGTTTCGCAAGGGATCTTACTTATGAGGGCCTGGTAGGGCTCTACAGTTGTCATTTTAAGGATGTAATGGTCTTCGGCACTGTTGCATCAAAACTAACCTCTCTGGTCCGACGACCCACCAGAATCATCCTGACAGCCACCATCAATCACCACCACTCCCGTCAACATGAACATCATCCTTGTCAGCGAAAGTCTCATCGAGTTTGTTGCCTTTCGATCCTGACTTCTCTTATCTCCTTTTGATTTTCGTTTTGAATGACCATCAAGTCGGTACCCTGGCATTTATTTCAGCTTCATCTGATCAAAACCAGTTCATCAAATCACCACCACCTTCGTGACGATGATGGTGATGATGACGATCATCATCGCCATAAGGTTCACCATCACCACCGTCATGATCTTCGTCTTGCAGGCGACATAAACATGTTGGCACTCCATGGCGATGTTTGAGATGCCGGCCTTGCTGCACAACACCTGAAACCTCCTGCCCTGCCCCACCCCTTAGCATGCACAGAAACGATTTCGCTGCACACTAGATGCGGCTGCTACACCCCAGGCCTTCATGGTCAAGCCCGTAAGCCTAACCCCCCTTTGTCTTGAACCAGGAGCTTGTACTCCTGACTGCCCTAAACCCGATATGCTCTACACGCTAAACCCCGCCAAAACTCCCTAAAACTTGTAGTGTTTTATGACAAACTAAACTCCCCAAAACTCCCTAAACTGACACAGTCGTCAAACCAACGTCTTGCTTTGAATCCGTGCGCGTCCTCGGCCCAGTGGAGGCACCTGGGCTCGAAGGTCAGGGGTCGGGGTTCTGGGCGCGGGGACCTCCATAAACGGAATACAGTAGGGTTGTGGGTATTTTGGAGTATCATCATATGGGGAATAAAACAAAACAACAAATCGGGCGCAGGCTAAGGCAT